AAAAAAAAAAAAAAAAAAAAAAAGAAAAAGAAAACGAAGAAAAGTGTCTGCCGTTTGCAGGAAGAAAATACCACAGTGAACAACAACGCTGCCAAAGGTTGCTCTTGTCATTAGTACGGAACGAGTCGGCACTAGACTGTATCGACGTGACAACCATAACACTTCATCAATATTTCTCGCATTCTCTCACGCACATATGATCAATAGACCATTAATCTAGATTACAAATCCTTTGAATCCAAGTACCATTAATGGAGCTCAATAGAGGTTTAATTTGGCACAATCGGCGTGATGATAGCAGAAAAAGATAACACAAGTCATAAAGTTAATATGGCTTTGCTCGCCTCAAGTCGCTGGCACCACTCTGAACATTGATCAACTTTTGCGCATGCGCACTTTTAGCTCTAGCTATTTCCTTGAGAATAAAATAGAAGGCTTTTAAATTACTCACTCGTTCTTTTTCTTTGAGTTCTCCGTTGGTTTTCTCATCAGGGATGGTTTTGTTTTGATTCTCACTATCGACATGTACCAGAGCGTCTGTTGACTGGACAGCTAAAGGTTCCATATTACGGATAGCCACTCCCTGGAACGATGCACGCTCTTCTCTGGGTTTTAACACTGGTGGTATAGCATCTTGTACCTGAACAGTGATTTGTCTAAGATTATACCAGTTTTTATTATTTTCTTTTATTAGCAATATATGCAGACTCGTTGGAGCTCAGGGGTTAGAAATTAAGGCAATTGCATGTTGCAATCCGGCAATGTACAACTAGGATTGGATACGTTGATTCAGTATATAATATATGTCCTACTATAGCATATCTAAATACCACTCTATCTACAATAAAACTAGCAGTGAAACCAATTCCAAGGTAATTTTTTCCTGTGATTGTGTGTGTGTGTTTTTTGTTTTTTTGAACAATATTTTCAAGTTGTCCACTTAAAAAACTTAATAAATCCGTTATCACGCTGCTTCTCTATTGAAAAAGACCAAAGATTATGAAACGGCTTCTGAGTTCATATTTTCGAAACTGCACGAAATATAGGTTTGCACAACTAAATCACAGATCTAATTGTAATGTAGCCTATAGCTTTTGCGCAGAAAGGAAAAACGGCCAGCAGGTGTAAACGTGTTTTATATACACGTTTATATATTAAAGCAGATTGTTTATTTACCTGTGTTTGATCCGTTCCTGTGTTACTGTCATTGTTCTTGATGCTAGCTGAGTAAGCAAAGCGTACTTTGACGCTCTCTTTTCGTTTTTTACTCGCACATGGACAGCAGCAACAAAAAAGCCTGATAAATGTATCTCGGAACTGTTTGCGGGTCAATACGTAAACGAACGGGTCCAGAACTAAGTTTAGGAGTAGCAAGCGCGATACTTGGAGGTCAGCGGACTTGTTCTTCCACAAACCAGATACGTTGCATACAATTCGGACCTAAAAATGGTAATGATGGCATCAACGTAAACAATGATTATTATGAATAGCAACAAAGAGCAAGAATTATTGTTGATAATAGGGACATCTTCATGCCAGGTATTGACAACAATTAGGATGATGTTAAACACCAGTATGATTATTATGATAACGAAGGTAACGATATTAAAATGATCAGCTGATGACATGGAGATGACGATGATGACTCTGATGATGACGATGACGATGACTATGATGACGATGATAATGACGATGATATTAGGTGATGATCATGATCATGACTGATGATGATGAKGAGGAGGAAGATAATGACGATGATTATGATTATGATGATGATAATGGCAATGGCAATGTAGTCGGATATGGTAATTTGATGATAATAATAATGATGATGATTATGATTATGATGATAATGACGATAATAATGGGAATGTTAGAGTACAAACACTATAAGTGTGCAACATAAATGCCTCTAAATACTGCTAAATTATGCTAATCCTATTGTTTTCTATTTTTAATTAGCACTATTAACTACTAAATAGTGCAAAGTGTTGCACACTTTTAGTGTTTGTACTCTATTGATGACAATTTATTTATTTATTTATCTATTTGAATCAGTTTGCCGCAATGGCAGGAATAGAGACACAGGGCTAGAGTCACAGGGCTAAGCCCCGATTGCGTGATGATAGAAAGGGTATTTTTTAATTCATATTATTTTCTACAAATGTCGCCTCTGAAGGTTTTTTGATAAAAATGAAATTACCTATTATTAAATAATTATTCCAATTTGAAACTAAAAAATCAAAAACTCTGTACAATGAAGGATATTGCCTTTGATATTGCCCTTATAAAATAAAACCATAGGGAGCCCAATTTAGATTAAAGTGAATGGTGAAAATAAAATCGGAAAAAATAAATAATTAATTTTCTTTTTTAAATTCGAGATCAAGATAATGTTTTCCGTAATGCGAAAGAGTTAAAAAATCAATGAAAAATGCACTAGAACATTTTTTTTTTCGCGCGCGCCTTTGTTTTCCTATAATATTCCCTTATGGTACTTCATTGATATGTAGATATACTCTTCATCATTATCGCATCCAACCGCCACCATCAATCAGCTTTAAAAGTTAAGAACACTGATGTCATAAGATCAATATTAATGACAGGTGTACATCTCTAAATACATAAGGAAAGAAGTCACATATTGTACGTTATTAGCGCTTCGCTTTTTTACCCGGACTCTGATATATTTAATCATGTGCCCTGTTAAGATCGTGCCATCTTTCAATAATATAAATACCTTTAAGTGTTGAAAAAGAAAAATTATAAATAATTGGTGGAATGAACATCCTCTGAATTACAGAAAAAGAATGACTTTCGTATGCCGGAAGATCAATCAAGGGATAGTTTTACGTAAAGAAAAACCCACACGCCAATATATCCATTAATTTAGCGCGTGGTGTTTTTACGCAAGTTCAGAGTTTTGGAAATTGTCGGATTCTTCTAGGGAATAAACGCATTGCGAAGTTAAGAGCACGAGACGATAATCTATCTATCTATCTATCTATCTATNTGGTTTATAGCCATGTTTGCATGAGGGTATGTAAACACAGTCCTGACGTCACAACTTTCGAAACTTACAATTTCTTTCGAGGAAAAAAACGCCCCCAAAAATGTATTTTGAAGACGAAGTTCCAAATTTTGACTTGTGGCAGGACCAATGGCAGTCAGGGGTTTGAAGAATTCTCGACAGTTATGCAAACCCTCGACTACGTCTTGGGTTAGCATAACTGTCTCGCATTCTCCCAACCTCCCCTCGTGTTGCTTTCAGGCTACGTAAACACGGAAAAAGTTTTCTATTGCTTAATTGTTGGCAGACCGTTTAAAAAGATCAATCTAAGCATTTGACCCAACAATGTTGGCTAGATGTTGGGACATATTTTAGGACATATAACCAGGGCATTTATCCCTTACTACTTGTAAACCCAAAGGGTTATTTAAACTAGACTGAAATGGTACGATCTTTACGTTTCGACCGGTCCAGTTTATTCTATCTTGCTCCCTGTTTACTATACTGATATGCTATGTCTTTGTCTATCTAACATATCTTGGTCTATCATTACCCGGCAATAGATGAACCGGATGAAAACATTCAGCAAATCATCGATATCGTTCGGGTTGACAATAGAAATTCATGGCCTGGACTTTTCCCACCCCCTAAATCCGGTTTTCTTTAATGGTTGGTTGGTGGTTTGGTACTTTGGGCGTACCATTGTACGAAAGAAAGAAAGAAAGAAAGAAAAAAGAAAGRAAATATGTTTTAAGTTAATGTAAAGCAGTTTACCTATTACTTCAGTGGAAGTACAATTAGTGTCATTCCCAAAATTATTTGACACGTGACAGCAATACTCTCCTCCTGATTCTTTACCAGTAATGTTGAATGACATCACGCTGGCATTAGCTATTGTTCTCTTGGTATCCTTGCGTATCCATGTAACACGAGGTGCTGGATTACCATAGGCATTACATCTTAATGTTATTGAATCTCCTTGATTACCAGACAGGTGCGAGGTCAGATTGTTGATACGAGGTAAAGCTACAAAAATAAGAAATTATAAAATGTAAGATTTTGCTTTTGCTTATCAACTGGTTTAACTGCTTTTTAAAGTTGGACGATTTTTTCTCAATATCAGTATATTCTTGTGTGAAAAAAGACCTTTCCATATCTTATTTACTTGACTTTTTTCAGTCTTTCTCGGGCTCAAAAAGAAAAAGAAATACAAGTTAGAGTAGTTTTTAGCGCAGATCTCGTAAGAGTGTGAAAAGTAACGACACACGGCATGGTTACGGTGGGGCACGGCGCAGACACGTCAAGTGATTTTAATGGACAAGGCTGACACGGTCACGGCAAGGTGCGGTCCATGCCGTAAATTACGTTTCTTCAACGTCGTACGAAAACAGCTCTAGGTAATTGGTACCTGGCCTCTGCTATTTTCTAACCATTTTTTTTTCGATTTAGAACTTCCTAACATTTATTTAGAAAATCAAGATATATCCAAGTATTAATTTTGGTAAAAAATGGTTATTTAACGCTAAATTTTCATATGGCTGAGGTTATTACTTGAGCTTTGTAACATTTCCATATTATGAAAATCAAGATTAACAAGTCTGTGAGCTGACTGATTTTCCCACTTTCGTGTCTAGGTTGTTGCCCGCGCCGGAAATTTAAAATAATGATAAAAAGAAGGAATGAAAAAAACAAAAACAAAAAAAAACAAACAAAAAAACAACAAAAAAAAAAAAACAACAACAAAATTGTAAGTTTATACAAATAAAGTTCTTCTTCGAATATTTAATGAGGTTTTTTAGCATGTTTGCAGCTGAGTTGCCATTTGTTTGCTGTTTATTTTTCAAGGAAAACAGCACCGAAACATATATGTATATATATCGTTAAAGTGCCAAAGTTTTAGAGAGGTATCGTCATTTACGATATCTGAATATCAGGGACTAATTAAAGTGTCGGATGAATGCATTAGAAAAGATGGAAGATTGTAATCAGGTTGATATCGTTGGTCTATCGCGAGCTGTAGTCACGGAAGATGGTGAAAACCCTTGCATTCGGTAAACAGTAGCGTATTAAAATAATCAGCTCTCGGAGACAAATGTGTAGATACTATCTTTATACATAAAAAGTCTTGAAGAAACCTTTACGTAGAAAGATTTCGCCCAAGATATCATTATTTCTAATCTATTTTATCCATTATATAAAATATAGAGCTTTTAAGCGTGACGTCAATAGTTTGGAAAAACGACTTCCTGGTCCAAAATGAAAAGTAGTTATATGAAGATTTTTCTTCCATTTTCTTCAAGAAAGGATTTGTTGTCCAAAGTTCTAATTGTTTTAGGTAGGAGTTAATTCATTAATAACATTTTTTGATTTCTTTTTGTGGAAGTTGAAGCCGGACATAAGTCAAACTTAAAACCTCTATCCGGCCAAGGGACCGGTCGATATTTGAGGCCATGGCCTTCATAGTATAAGTAACTTTATTTCTTTATTTCTTTAAAGAAGGTTTAGCGAATAGCTAATCTTACCCTGGGCCTTCTGAGAATGAAATTACAAATGTGACGATAAAATAAAATAAAAAATATATAGATATATCAATAATAATAATAAATTACTTTTGCCTATTTGAATATATAAGTGGAGGATTTTTGTTGCGACATCAGGCGATAAATAGTAGTCATAAACGGCCCCTAAAAATACTCCGATAAATCCAAGAAACTACTCAGGGTGTTGCGATGTCACTTAGGAGAAGAAAATTAATGGACATCAATTCCTAGGGTTCCATAATAGGTCCTAAAGAGACTATATACTCAAAAGGTCGTTTGAAAATGAGTTCGGTGCAGTGCTAGTGTTACTAGCTTTCGAGGAAGAAAAAAATCGATCCGTAAAACTGACTATGCTCTAAGTAAACACTTTAGCTTGGCTGTGTGTGGGGTAACTTCTATTTTAAAATAAGCTTTTTGAACGGGTTGGCACGGAAGGCATGTGAAGGTTTTTACAGGTTTTCGACACCTGTTTCGAGGGCCGGTTCCAAGGATCATAAAACTTAATTTAGTGGTGGCATAAATAGGCTCTAAAGAAACACTTAAGCTTAGCGTTAGTTTGGTTACGTGTGCCGTACCTTCTATTTTTGAATATAGGTAGGCATTTTGAAGCTTGCCATAGCATGTACGGTTTTTAAGTATCAAACTACATTAAAGCGGCCAGATTATAACCACAGGAAAGAAATTGTATTTCCTGATATTTTTAATAAATTAACTAAAAGACATTAGTTGCGCTGTAAGACAGATATCCCAAAAGATTGATTGAAATATTAAGTAAATCTCACTCTGAAAGTCAGGGAATTCAGCGAAAAGCTTTTGAATCGAGAGAAGCGGCCATTTTGATATTTCCATCCAAACTCATATTTCCAAATATAATTTGCATATGATATTCTGGAGCATGGCCGTAGTGTTAATATACATTTCAACTCTCGTGGTTTCTGGTGGAATCTTCCAAAATCCTGTGAAAGTCTTAGCCTACTCTATCAGCGGACTACCCAAATGTTGTTCTCAGAGTTGATGAATATTGCCCACGTCTTCCTCAAAAACACCGGTTTTTAAAATTTTCATCTTATTTTTGTCATTCTTATGTTGCTAATATAGTCTAATTTGTTTTTGGACCATCTGTTTGCCTACACGTCAAATACCCCATAACTAGCTGCGGGTGTATTTTTTTAACGATGAGACGAAATGAAAACAAAGCTATTGGAATAAGAATGGGAGATTTTCTAGATAAAGACTTGAGGATTAAATAAGGACGTCACTTAATCGTCCAATAAAAAATTCCCTTTTCTGCGATCAAAACTGAATCACATTTCATCGAAATCAGACAAACATATAGCATATACTTGAGACTTGGACAAAGCTAATTAATTCACAAAAGGACAGTTTGATTGCTGTGGAGATTTTCAAATAATTAACACTGTCACCCGTAAACTATTCTTTTTAATCCTTTGCAAAATACCATCTTTATAAGAAATTTTTGTGACACCGATTAGTGAACTGTTATATCCTCTATACTCAAACTAGGAACGATTTTAACATAGAAATTGATTTATTCATCGGCGATATTCTTCTTAATAGATCCTGGTATAGTCCACCTACTTCCTATAGTTGATGTTATTTGTGATCTTTGTGGTTTGCGCGCGGTTCTATACGTGTTAAAGAGGAAATTGATGTGAAGGTGTTTGCATTAAAAACAAAAACAAAAATGATATTATTAGTGGCTTTCCATTATACAGCTTTTTCAAAAAAGGTAGAAGGGGCGAACGGCAAATAGTTATCGGTGATTTTCGATTGTACGATCAAAAGGCACAGTGGCCTTGCATTCTAAAAATGAATAATTAAGGCGTTTTAAATGATGTTTTTTTTTTTTACCACAAACAACATTAAATATCTCAACAATATCCTCTGTGTTACAGTCATTCCAGCTGTTCTTGGATCTTGGAATGACAGTCTATATCCTATTGCTGTTATCGCGAATGGACTATTGCCGCGGTTGGACCCTTCGTCTATTTTAGTCGCTAGGTCGTTACGAAGTCGCTAGGAAGTCCGTGAATAACACCACAGGAAGCCCATCAATTGTATTTTAGACTCTCACGGATTAACCATTTTCTATTATGTAGGCTGATTAGACCCTAATTGTATATTGCTCGTATATGTATAGTAAAATCCTTTTTTTCCTATGACAACCATATTACTTATAGCGGTAGCCACATGTGTTTATTGAGCGCGTATTTTTGCCTATCTGTGATACACTTATTTCAATAGAGTTAGTCACCAAAAACCTAGAAAGCTGAGATCACTGAGTATCATGGGAAACTTTTCATATCAAAAAAGCATATATATACAAAGCTTTTTTAATACAAACTGCAGCTCGATGATGCTCAGAAGAGGTGAGACTGTAACCGGTAAAAGATTCGCAAGTCCATGAACAGTTATCAAGCCGTTGAACGTGTAAAATGAATCTACCCATAATCCTTGTCGGCCTCAGCTTTATAGCTTTTCAGGCGACTAACTTTATTGAAATAAGTGTATAAAGCTTTATCGAAAGTTGACATTGGAAAATGAAATATTTCACATCCCTCAACAAACAGTATCACCAGTAAGATGTATCAGGTGACAAGCAATGAATTACGTTGATGAGAAAACCCCCTTTATTTGTCGGTTTCTTTAATTTGGCTTATTCATCGAAGGTTAATGATATTTTGTCGTATATATAGACGATCGTTATATCAAACACTGATTCCAGAACGTTAATGGTGTTCCCACACGTTGCCATGGAATTATTTATAGTTAGTGGAAGCTGTGGGGGGAAAATACACCGAGGTGTGCTTGTTCTTCGGGTTTTCAACGAAATTGAAAGTGACGCTTTAAATGGAAAAACGGTGCCAAACGGCATTGCAATATTTCAAGCTTTATTCACTCATTATAAATAAATAAAATAACAGCGCGAATTTAGAGACACCATCTTTGTTGGGAGGTGAATATTTAATACCAAGGCTGTTGTATCTGCATTTTTTTATAAGGTATATTCCATACATTTTTTCTATATTACTTTTGATCGTAATCTATTATAATCACTTATGAGTGTCACGGTGTTGTCACACAACTATCGGCCAAGCATGTAAGTACATATAATAGTACCTTAGTACTTCAGGGCTTTAGCGATAAACACATAGGAAAAGCGATCGATCGTGTGACGAAACAACAACTAGCTGACCCTGATGCATCAGTAGATCGAGACATCTTGGCATTTACATCCGCCGTATGAGTTATTTCATTCATAAGATGTTTTAGCCAATTCTAATAGCAGCTTGGCTACTTTCATAGAAAAATTTGTTCATTAGAGTTCTTTTTACGGTATTTTGTTCTTTTTTCTTATATTGTTAAAACCTTTTAATCACAATGTCAATGTGAAATTTAATTAATTTATATCTTTGATTTGCATCTGTTTTCCTGTAAAATGTATTGAAGGGCAAAAATTAAAGCAAAACAATGAGCGAAATCAAAATAGATTTGAAAAAGAAATTCTAAACAATCTTCAGGGTCACGAGAATTAAATGAAATACTAAACCGTCTACGAAAAAGCAAAGAAAGACCGCTGTAAATTGTACGATGATTGATGGAGATGACAATCAGTAAATGTGACTAGCTTTCGGGCTAATTTCTTTCAAAGTCCCGGAACTTCAGAAGGATCGTTTATTGTAAGTGAAAGGGATATAGCCGTAATCACAATCATGAAATTCCCTAGTACAAATGCTTGGCAAATGTAATATAACTTAGTATTTATATAGGTTCTTGTAGGTTTTGAAATAAGTGACAGGCTTCATCTTGTCCTAACATTGTCGTTTCCTTACGTGTCAAATTCAATGATATGTGTACCAAAAATTCGACCTGCTTTAATATCGAATAGTTTGACGTAGCTTGCTTACTTGTGTGGAACAAGTCTTACAGCTAGAAAAAATATAGGTTTATATGATAAAATGACGGATGAATGCGACATCTTGCGAACACCTTCGCCCTCAACACGAAACATTATAAACAATAAGAATCTGTGTGAGTCCAAACCAGTTAAAAGAAATTAAAAAAAGGAAGAAAAAAAAAGTGAAAAAGACAAGACAATGAAAGAATGGAGGGAATGATTGAATGAATGAATAAATAAATATCAAAATGCTAATGGTTTAAATTTTTACGAGATACGCATATAATAGTTTTATGAATATGGTAATTTATATGGAGCTGTCTATCGGAACTAATGCGATAATCTGGATTGAAATAAAATCCAAATGAAACTGGGGATTCTACTGTTGTATTCATTAATCTACATACCATAAATGGCGTCCAGCAAATGAGAAAAAGAACGGAGATGATGACCATCATTCGCTGATACTGTTGCTGGATCTTCTCCGATGCGGTTTTCTTCGTTTCATTCACCTTTTGAAATTTACTGCGAAGTCCTTTCAGATTGCGAGCAGATTTCTTTCGTTTTAATATTAAAAACAGCACATGCATGTTAGTGAATATCACTATGAAGACCAATAAAAAACCGACAATGGCAAAAAAATACGCATATGCCTTGTCAGTACTAGTCTTGGCAAACCAATTCAATGTGCAATAAGTTTGTGTCAAATTAAGCTCGAAGCTACCAAATCCAAAGACGGGCATAAGTGATATTACGGCACAGAGTACGATTATCAAGACAAGGGCTTTCTTGGCGAATCTGAAGCTTATTCGCTGACGGTGGAAGAAAGGAGCCCTTACAGCGAAATATCGGTCTAGTGCCATGCAAGTCGCTATTAATCCTGATGTTAGCGAGGTAAACACAGTGAAAAATCCTTGGAAATAGCACAGAGGTTTTCCACCAGTCCATTTACCATAGGCATAGCAGACCCAAGTAGGTGTACAGATTAAGACAATTCCGAGAAGATCGCACAAACTCAAACCAAAAATCAACACATTACAGACTATTTTCTGATGCCGGAGGATTCTGAACGTCAGAACAAGTGCAAAAATATTGGCTATGATTCCTGGAGTTGCAATTATCCCTAAGATTACTCCTTGAAAAGGCTGAATAGCAACATTGGTAGCATTCTTTCCTTCCATTGTCAGTCTCCTGTTTAGTGTTAGGGCAATACGAATTCTCCGGGGATATTTTGGTTATGAAGTCCTTCAGCTCAGAGCTGACTTTAATAGCACGAATGACGCTTGACGGCTCGTCCTGAGGCTAAGAGCTCCTTAGAGGAAATGGAAATGTACTGAGTTTGGTTAGCGTTCGGCGTGTGTGACGCCTGGCTGCTCGAGAAAGAATTTGATTGACCTCCTACTGTCACGTAATTTGTCCTTTAATTCGTAATTGAATAGGCTTTTTGCTATTCCTAGCATCTTTTAAAATACAGTCGAGTGGCGATTTTAAAGTACGCCCGACCTTTGGGTCAGCAGGTAAAAAAACAAACACAAAAACAACAAGCAAAATTAACCGGAATTTATCAAAGGAAAGCTAAGAAAATCAACCAGAATTGTAAACATAAAAAAACAATAAAAACACACCATTATGGAGATTTTCTAAAGAAGAAAGTAAAAGAGAAACAACGGAAGGCAAATGGGAAGCTAGTATTGGTCAATATTACAGGAACATTCGTAACGCAATGAGGGGCTTTTTAAATGGCATCAACACAAGTACTGATTGCACAATACCATACGTGCAACAACATGGTGAATTCTACTATCCATGAATTGCTTTTCATTGAAAAACTGTATGAGTGGTTTTGCATTTCCTAATTACACGTTTGAATAACTGAAGTGCTTACGGAGATATCTTTATTACATAGGTCTAAAAAGAAAAAAAAAAAAGAAAAAAGGCGTGTAATTATATAGTTTAATTAATAAAAAAATTTAAATAATAAAAATTTAAAAAAATCCCCTTAAAAATCTTGATTTTTTTCTAGTACATCATATCAGTTTAGTGGTGATTGGACCAAGACAAAGCTGTCAAACATTGTTTTTTTTTTTTGGGACTGATTTTAACTTTGACTTACTAGTTACAATGTTAAAAAGAATGAATCTAAGTCTGAAATGGTATTTATGTAATTATATTAACCACAGCAATATATGAAAATAAACTAAGATTATTACACTCGTTCTACTATTCCGGCTTCTATGGACTTCTAGGCCAAGAGAAAATAATCAACGAAAAAATGGTCATTTTCTCTTGTCTAGGGCCATTCTCGTGTAACTGGTGGACTTAAAATAAATTAATAACTTTAATTAAGTCATGGATAAAAGGAAAACCAAAGAAAGAAAGAAAGAAACAAGGGAAACTTGGATAGCAAAGCATTGCAAAGAAATTTTACATGTAAGAGCTAAAACAAATATCCTATATAAGTACTGCTTCACTAACTTTGATCAATATTAATTATATCCGTTCACTAGTAGTGTGTTAATTTGTTTGCATTAAAGAAGAAGAAAAAATGTTGTCATTCAGGAAACCGATGATTTCTTTCCTGTCACTGATCAATGTTAAAGATAGATCAAACATGCTTAGGTTATGTACGGTTATTTTGGGTGCTTTCAGTCCAGTTTCCACTGTACCAGAGTAGTTTTTATTGTAATTCATGATCAGTTCTGGGGACTGAAATTGAGAAAAAGAGGACTATACCTCAAGACGTATACACTAAAAACGCTTGCCCGCACATACACATTGCAGGTGAAAAATTTAAGATTCATTGCCACGGGTTTTAAGCTCTAGGCGTARTTTTTCATAGAAGGATTGGTTTTACTGCAGAGCTGAGAAGGCAGAAGGAACTGAGAAGGCAGAAGGCTTGGAACTGCATAGGCAAATGAAGATGAATTCGATCTGATACACTCTTTGTTATTCATACTAAGCCTGTCCAAGGCGCGCGCTAGGGTCTTTGTTCCTTCGTAAGTTTGCCCTTTTCAGCCGCCATACAAAACAGTTAGCGATGATATCAAAGCTAACTTGGACATCCGATAAAATTTTCTTTATCCTACATCTTGTTTCAATATTTATCATCGTACAAGTTTTGCTTTGTTTTACAAGGTGGGATGTGAAATTTCATTTATTAAGTTGTCATTCGAGTCCCTGTCAGGTGCTAAAATAATCGAGAAATATATTCCCTTTTCACCACGAAAGTTTATTTGTTCCTGCTCGAGAGTAGATTCAGCATGGTGGCCGTAAACACGACACTGAACAACGAGCTAGTGAAATAAAACCTGGAATATCATTGATCTCAATGTGGCGATCTGGTCAAACAGCTGGCTAAATTGTGAGTGTAATCGATCACAATCAACTGGCTCTTTCACTTGGTCATAAAGGCGCGTTGAGCGGATTTTGAGAGCTGATTATTTACAAGGATATCAGGAAATGTATACGTAGTGAATGAATTGGCCTCTAGCTACGGAATTATTTTGTATACAGAAACTACGAACGTGACTGAGTTTTTCTCACGTCTTTCGCAAATTCGAAATTGTCGGCCGCATCAGCTGAAGCTGATCCAAAAAGATAAGGAATGCTCTTATAATATTGAATTCCTAGAAATGATGCCATATATAGTATCAGATTCTAAAAGTAGGCGACCGCGACACGAGTGAAAAACGTCTGCGCATGCTCTGAATCCGTATGCAAATTAGTCAAAACATAAGTAAATTTGACTTTCAAACATGCCTTAAAAATTGGACTTCACAAAATGTCGAAACTTAGTGTCCATGCTTGAAACTTAAGACTAATTCTTTCATATTGTGTTTGTTAATACAGTATCTTGGTCTGACAAAAGTATACTCTCGAGCTTTTTTGTATACTTGGAAAAAAAACATTTATTTCCTCACTCAAACTCTTCAAAATTCTTAGAAAACGTGCTGAAGTGCAAGCATGCGCTAAGGTTTTTTCCGGGTGTCGCCGACCGCAGTAACTTAACCTAAAGGCCCTGCGGTTTACACCATCGTGACTGTTATGTAAAGCTCTAAATAAAGATCAAGAACATGGCGACTATCAGTCGGTGCTTCATGATGGCTTGGTTTACCATCAGACAAGATTGATCTTTACGCACAACATGGCTTGCAGCTATATTGCAAGAGGGAAATATCACTGAAAGAAAGATAGTGCTAATGATAATGTTGTAATATTTATTATAAAATAACTAAGATATAAAGCGCGCTCTAATTGCTCAAATCCCGTTTCCTATAACTCAACATAGATCGTGAGGAAATGACGTCAACAACGCAAGGGCGATGTATGTTTTGTTTGTTTCTTATGTTTTTTATCATTTCTTTTGAGTTAATCGTTAGTTATATCTTAGTTGTTTTATAAAAGGGATAGAAAACTCGCCTTGCTTGTGCTATGTTGAGTTATACAAGCACTTGGGAAATTGCGTGAGCCCTCGAGAAGTCAGTCCCGAGAAGCACTCGTCTACGGCTCGTGCTTCTCCTAGCACTTCTCTCTGACTCACGCAATTTCCCGCGTGCTTGTGTAACTCAACATAGCACGCGCGCTCGTTTTCTATCTCTTCCAAAAAAGTGCACTATATAGCTTATTTAATATTTCAAAATGATTGTATCACAGAAGACCAATATATTTCCAATGAAAATAATAATAATAATGATAATAATAATAACAATGATGATGCTGATGATGATATTAAATGATGCAAACCAATAGTTGACATTTTGTTTTGTTGTTCGTCTTTTGGTCAGCTCCTATAAGACTCCCCCTGACCTGACCTTAGTTCCCCCTTGACCTGAGCCTTAGTTTTCTAATTCTTCGATTGCACGTTACGTCATAGCGGCCATCATTTTATTGCCATTTGACAAATATTTCTTATTAGCATTCATCGTTAACGCCACCATGCTTTTGTCTTTTAATTAACTCTCTTGGGAATGCTTGCAAAGCATCAATATGGCGGACACTTTTGCCCGCATGCGAACAAATAAACTCGTTATGAATATACTAAAGTTGTTATTTTTGTTATTCCGACAAATATAGTTTCGTAGAGTCCCTCTATCATGTAAATGACTTAGTTATATAAACCATTTTTTTTCCAACTCGACCAGCCGCTGTCCACTGCAATTTATCTTTCTTTAATTATTTTAAAAATAGTACATACAAAGCTTACCGGTACATGGAGTGATTAATTAAAATCTATTTACTGGTCATTAAACCGACTGATACCAGCTGACGAGACAAGAAAAGCCGGACAACTTGTTACTATTTCCAAGAAGCCGCATCACAGGAATTAATCACTTTTCACTTTTGTCGCGCGCTAATTCTCAAACTGTCGAACCGATGTGATAAATTACTGATGATAACGAGAATAATTTCCAGAACTGTGCTAAGCCAAACCGCGTTGAGAAATGAGCTCAATCAGCTTTAATTCGTTAGTCACATCACATATTACCTGTTGTGGCAAATACTTTCTATATATAAACCATACCTCCATATGTCCAACATATGTCCAATGACTTTCTTGACCTTGGTCTTAATATAACTCTTGGAAAACAGTGATATTCATGTTCGCGTTATCAAACTATTTCATTCTGTCCTGAAATTATGATCTATGGACTGATCTTAGTCAAGACATGGCTAGCTTTTAGGTACACATCGCAGGGAATTTCAATTGCCCTTTTCACTATGACGTCACTGCTTGTTTATGTGGGGGATAAAATCGCCAAATCCAATAGGAAATTCAACAAAATTTGCTTCTAGTGAAACAGTTTAATCTAAAATGGCCTGGTTTTCAGATATAATATGTGTTAATATGTACTAAAAAATATTCTGAGCATTTGCTGGCTATTCTACTTCTCTTCGTGGATTGATACGGGTATTAGAACAATTTTCGGTGAATTTGCGCTGATTTGACCCCCTCCGACGACCATAATCCTTTGCGTTTAAACAATAGATTGTTTTGATGTGACGTCATAGTGAAATAGGTTAATTTGATGGTTTTCACAGCCGCTATGTTGGATGAATTTAACAAAAGATTCGTCATTAGGCTCTTTTGTTATATCATCCAACATGGCCGCCGTGTCTTTTGTTATTTCATTCTCTTGGGAATGATTGAAAATTAGCAATAGCTGCGTTTAGTGCTGACTACGAAAACTCGCGGTAGACTTGAAAACCCTTTTAGTCTCCTTCGCAGCCTTCATAAGTTTCGATCCCAGATCCTCACTAGTGGAGAGGGTCCGTGAGGATCTGGAACCGAAACTAATGACGGCTGCTGAGGAGACTAGAAAACCCTCGAATCAAGGAAGACATCACATGCAAACATGCCATGCTTTGGTTTATGGTTGAGAAATTAAATCCGAGACCCCAGATAGATATATCATTGATTCGTACGTGCTACAGTTAGTTATCCTTTACGATATTAAGGGTACACGTCGTTGACGTAATGCGCAAATTGCATAAAATAAATGAAGCCCAATAAAACAAAACAAATCAATACATCATTAAATATCTTCATCCTGTACTTTCAATATCAGGTGAAGAATGTCTCATTCGGATCGTCGCCAGTCCTTATTCTAGAGTACTCATCTTATACCTCATAAACTCAGAGGGGGCGCGCGAGGAGTCGAGCTATATGCGCAGAAGGAAACAGGCCCTAAGGGATTGACACTTGGTCTGAAATGGGAAAACATTACGCCTATAAGGTAAAGAAGTTTTTAGAAAAAAACTCGACTCAAGTCAGCCGTCAATGATATGCAACACGGTCTACTTCAACACTTTTTCAACTAAACAAGATGACTATCAATAGTTCGGCATTATACTGACATCAACATTAAAGACTTCAATAGTGTGTATGATTTTTCATGTATACGTAACATTTAGACGAGAAAAGAGATATGGTGCATGCGTTCCAAGTCCAACAAATGGATAAGAGAGATGCGCAGACGCGTGACTGTAGTGCGGTACAACAACATTTAGACGAGAAAAGAGATATGGTGCATGCGTTCCAAGTCCAACAAATGGATAATAGAGATGCGCAGACGCGT